TGTGTGTGTGTGTGTGTGTGTGTGTGTGTGTGTGTGTGTGTGTGTGTGTGTGTGTGTGTATACGTATCTCTCTGTTTATTTCTGTATATTTCTACAACAAAAGATTTGTTTTCTGTTCCTGCATGAGAATTGCACTAAAATTGAACTGCACTAATGCAATTCAAAAAAAACGTCTAGTGCAAGAATGATGTCCCATATTATTTACATGGAAATATTAGATTCGTGTGATGTAAGTATTAATGCAATTCCATCATTAAGAATATTCTTCATTGAAGATAATGATAGTACAAAATATTTTTATATGTAAGCTTACTATCATTTATATATTTTTATCATTTTATTACTCGTATATACTCTCGTGCTATTTGTACAAGGTCTATTTTCTGTGGCTGAACTAGTGTACACTAGTGCTGCTTATACTAACTCAAGAATATCAATCATGAAACTTTATCCTTAGACTCTATCCTAGGATAGAAAGTAAAAGATGAAAATTTTAACCATGAAGTTAATGGAGAAATTTTTCACTTTTCACTTTTCATCCTAGGAAAAAAGTTTCATTGATACTCAGACAGTCTAGTGTCTGTTTTCTGTTTCTGCATTAGATTGCAAAATTCTTTCTCGCTTTCGACAAACATCATTATTATCAAACATATACTTTCTCATTTAAATTCCAAAAATATACACTAGTTCAGCCACAGAAAACAAACCTATGATCTGGTGAACTAATGCACTGAGTTCTATTGCACTAGAACAAAAGACAGCGTCGCTAACATCATTTTGGAAACAGAAAACGCTTTAGTATACACTTTTTGAACAACCATTGTAACAATGTAGAAACAGAAAACAGAAAAACAAATCTTTAATTCGTTAAAATATAATAGATATTGTTTGCAATAAAAGAACATTAGAATTAATTTATTGTATATTTACTAGCTGCTTGCTAAAAATCTTTAATATGCAATATTGCTTTCTCGTAATAAATAATTATCATAATACAGAAGATAAAATAATTCCATCATATTTTTTCGATAGTATTGCTTCGGTATCTATGAAAAATTACGAAAAAATACATATGTTGCATTTTATCTTCCATTTTTCTAAATTCGCCGAGATAATAAAGTACTTGCAGCATTCTGATTCGCGTATACGAAATATAAAGAACAGTATGATTCACTCTTTGACTTCATCCTTATCATTTAATTTCTCCGCTCTTCGACGCGCTTTTTCTAAAATTTGCTTGAGTTCTGACGATCGGGCGGTTTTATACTGTAAAAAAAAATCAAGAAGTATTACATTAAGTAAACACATTGTAGAATTTTTTCTTTAAATTATACTTACTTCACACTCGTTTTTCGCTAAAGTTAATTGGCCATTGAGCCTACTTCCCTCGGACAATCCACATAATTGCTCTAATCGCCGTCGTGATAAATTGAACAATTCTGTGCCATTCGTATTTTCCAATTGTTTGCAAATTCTGCAATAAATAAAATATACTTGTATTGAATGGTGAATAAATTACTAGGTCTGTTATTTATATTACGATTATATGCACTTTTGCGAGAATCCTTTGGCTTCTAACCAAGTTTGAACTTGTTGAGGAGTCGAATGTTGATTCAACCAAATTTCTTGCGTATTGTTATTAATAGAAGAATTTGCTTTCTTCTCTCGAAATATTCCGAGGACGAACTTAAGCTCTTTTTGAACTTCTTCTTGATTGGAGAGACCTTTTGAAAGCATGTGCCACAAATACATCCAATAAATGATAATTACTAATTATAAAAATTTTTATTTATTTATATAATTATTTTTATATAGTTCATCCTATTATAAGTAAAGTCTGGTTTTAACAAATATAAAAGGGATTATTAAATCAATTTTTTTATTAATATCTGAAGTTATATACTCACCATTGGAGAAGTTATTTTTAAAAATTCCCACTTTATTAAACATAAAAGTTGATGGTAAAGATTTTTGGGGTTGAAGTAATGAGATAGATCCTATTGATGTTGACGGCGGCGGTAGTGGAAGTGGTGGAGGCATCGGAGGCATCATCGATGAGTTTAATGCCAGTGTAGATGATACTGGTGTTGATTTTACTGAAGATAATACGGGTGCAGATTTCAATATAGATAGTGTTGGCGCTGATTTCGATGTGGATAATATTGGTGCTGATTCCGATTCAGGTAGGATTGGCATCGATTTCGATGTGAATAGTTCTGTTGGTGGTAATGTCGCGATCGGTGTGATGGTAGGCGGTATAATTAGCTTACCGGGTATTATATCTAGTATTATATCGTGAGGTGGCGAGTGCACTTCCACGATGCTTTGTTGCGTATTAAACTTTCTGTTCGACTGAGAGATGCTCTCGATGGAAGATGTACTAGATCTATTACTATTATTGATGGTTCCGTTGTATGCACTAATGTCTGTAAAACAATTTGCAAAATTAATTTGCATTAATTATCCTTGAAAGAGATGAGAAATTATTTATCGCATAAGTATTTGATTTATTCATTGATAAATCATAATGCATGCCACAATATGGACAAGCTATTATAAAATACGTGAAAAGGCTATAACTTACCCCAAAGCTTTCACATAAAAACTACACAGAATCTTAAGTGTACTGGACGAACACTAAGCATATAT